TGTGCTCAAAAAGAAATCACAAACAAAAAACCCCAGAACTTCTAGATATGATTCATCACCGAATTAGAAAAGGAACAAGACACCCATTCACACAGATCTTCTCCATATATTCCAATGACTTAAGAATTCAGTTTCAGATAAAAATGCCTCTAAAAGATCTAAAATAAAATCTGCCTTATGCCTCTTATTTCTTGACCAGCAGAGCAAAACGAGCTTATAGCTTGGCTTCATGTTGCAGCATGGATACAGTTTACCAGGTACGATAGGGACAATATTGTGGCACACTTCACTTTGGGCACCATTGCCAGCATTTTCAAAGAATCCCAGAATGGCTGAGGTTGGAAGGGACCTCTAGAGATCCARCTCCCTGCTCAAGCAGGGACACCTAGAGCACGTGGCACAGGATTTGATCCTGCAGGGGTGTTTTCACCTTTCAGGCTGGTTCTTGCAAGATATTTAGCTTTTTATTTTAACCATGAGTTTATGCCATGCTCACCTCCAACCTCAGATGAATGAAGTAGAATTTCTGCATTTTGTTGAGATAAAAGTGTTTGGGCACCTTCATGACAATCACTACAATAATTTTTTAAGATGAGCAGCTCCCACACGGTAGATTAAGACATTGAGCCATTCCTAGCTAGCTAGGAATATCAAGGAAGGCCATTTCTTAGCCCAAGAAGCATGCATCATGAGGATACATCACAAGATCAAACAGAAACGAGCCTGGTGCTGTCCCTACGCAAAGTTCATGCTCCAATTTCTCCCCATTCTTACATCCTTCACAAATAGCATTCTTCATTAATATTAATAAGGAGGTAAAACAGACTGCTGGGGGGAAAGATGAGGTAGAAAGGCTGTGAAGGGAGCAGCTTGYTGCACGGAGGTCTCACACTGGGAGGAGAGGTTGGCCTGAAGAAGCAGGTGTGACCATGGCCATTGGCTTCACGGCAGAGCTGCCCTGCATCTCACTACCTCTAAGAGCTGCAGCAGGAAATCTCAAGCCCTAATTCGAGCAGACCCAGAGGAACAATTTTGCTGATAAAGCCCCACCACAGCCCAACTGGACACTGACTTCTGAAAGGGCCGAACCTTAACCCTCCTCTGCTGAGCCTCTTCCTTTCCCAATCTCAGTTGGACATGAAAAGTAGCAACTTGATAAACATTGGGCTTGAAGTTTCCAAACCACATTAAAGTGTGAGGACTCAGCCACTGTCCTCAAAATCTGGACAATTTCCTTTTGTTCTGTACACCCACACAGTGTGAAGGGCTACTGATTTAAGCCTTTGAAGCATCTGACAAAAAATAGGGTCAGCTTGTTTGTTGTTGTTTTATTTTTGTTCACATGTAAAAAAAAAAAAAAAAATCCCAGAATCTCCCCAGTGAGAAGGTTTTAAGGTTTAAAATGTATGGAGTGTTTCTGGATATGAAGATTTTTGTCATAGAACCATGCCCAGTTCCTTGGTGAACCATAAATCTATAATATGACAGTTCAGTCCAAATGAATCACCCCACTTTAACAGGCAAATCTGTGAGACTGAATCAGCTTTGCTGAGAGTTTATGCTTGTCTGATAAAACATGAGTAAATGATATTCTTTAGTAATACCAGAAAGTTTGGTGCATTATATATATTAAATTCAATAATATATATATTAATATATATATTCAATGTTTTAAAAATCTGTGTTTTACTTCAAGGTCTAAGTCTTCAGTCTTGTGTGGATGGAGTTTGGAATTTTTAAGGGATCAAAGTTCCGAAAAGGCCCAGAAGCCTGGGGAATCCCAGTTTTTCAGGACTCCATGAAGACTTCCATTCCTAATTTCACTTTGGACCACTGCAACAGTGTTTGTGCAGCTGTTTCAGCTGGGCATGCAAATCAAACAGAAACCTTATACATGAAGTTCCATCTGAATAGCACTTTCAGGGAAGTCAAGTTACCTAGAATTTCTTCCTTCATTTTTCTTTCAGTTGACAAGGTTTTTGAAAAATCCATCATTTATTCRGGATTTTTTGATGTATCTAGTTCCCAATGGGATGTCAGATTTATACCACCCTGTCCACAGCTGAGACTATATTAGATTTGATTTATCTGCTCGCTGCCAGTTGTGAGGTACATATCACCTGTTTGACAGCCAAAAATAAAGCTAATTTATCTGTCTCATGTTTTGGAAAACATGGTCACATTGTCACTTCTCCAGGCTGCAGAAATATTGACTTTTCTGGGTAAATCCCAATCCTTTTCATYCCCAAACACCATGGATTAGAAACATTGTCATGCAAAGACCAACGATCAAAACCAAATGCGGCAGCAAAGTTTCATTTTGACCATTTTGTACATAGCTTTTAGCATAACTGCACTCAATATAATTTGTAAAATAAATATAGGCAAACTGTAAAGTAAATGTATGTACTACACAGTGCATACATTGAGTACTACACAGGACAGATATAAGAATATAGCTCTTTCCCACATCACCACARAGAATCCAGAACATGCACTGAAATACTGGCAGGCTGAGGTTCCCAACACTCACGTGTCAAAGAAGTAGAATTTCCTTAATCTCATTCTGAAACAGGAAGCCCATGGCTTGCAGCCTGCATGTTGCTTTGACGAGATTAAATTTAGACATACACAAGTTAAAAGGCTTCTTTCCGTCCCCTCCCTATGAAACCGTCTGCAGTATCTCCTGAACYACTGGCTCTTGCTGTGAATCTGTCCCAGAGCCTGTTGGTCAATGGGAGCTCAGCAGATGCCTTCCCAGGCTAAGCCACAGCAGGGGACCACACCACAGTGATGAATCAAGTCTCACCAAGAACACTTGAGAAGTGAAGCTCTGCCCAGCCTGAGTAAGATTTTTAAGCAGACAGTGTAGGAGGGTGAAATGGGAGGAAAAGTGTAGCAAGTGTCTACGCATGGCACAAAACAACCACTTCTCCAATAACTTTGAAACACTAGGTGCAAATGCAAGTATGGAAAGTTTTACTACTGATTCAGAAGAAGTATGATCATCCCATCTGGATGCTGARAGCTGTGCATGATTTCCTTTTCAACAAAACAAATCGTAACAAGCTGAAAGGTTGCAATAAAGTCTTAAGGATCAAGTTATCCTACTAGGAGGGAAGGAATAACTGTCAGAAAAGCAGTTGTAAAAGCACTAAGCCAAACCAAATTTCAGCAATACACTCCTCCAGTGCCTACTGCAGCTGAGTCAGTCTCAGGATATATCTCATAGCCGGAGCGCCAGGTTTTCCTCTAAGCAAGAGGAGCTTTTCCTGCTCAAGTTGTTCCAGGGTGTATACAGCCCTGGATACACTAGGACAGGAAACTGAGCCAGTCTCTCACAGGATCACAGAGTCCACCTTCTCTTCGGGTAGTGGCTTGCCGTGATTTGCACAACGGGAAACCTTCCCAACAGGAAAGCGGAAGCCTTGGCGTAGCCAGTCACTGCAGGAGCCCATTTGGGAGCAGGTCACTGATGTTCCAGCCCGCGCTCCCAAGGAAGCCTGGCAAGGAGCTGAGGCCACATTTCCTGTGCCTAGGGTGGGTGTTCCATGCCCGTGTCTATTTCATCCTRGCCATGGGAACCTTCTTGGCAGTGGTAACTCATGGGGTGAGGAGACAGCACTTTCCAGGGGAAATGAATATACGCATACACACACACCTATATGAACGCATATATGCATGTGTGTGTTCTATATGTGTACATATATATAAAAGACCTATATATATATAAAATAAATATGAATATAAAATGATGAATCAGCATTTCCCGAGCAGGAAAACGTCCCATTGGAGCGACCCCCCACCCGCTCTCCAGCCGGGCAGCCCCTGGTCGCGGTCGCCACCGGCCGGTAGCGCCGGCAATTGCCGGGCAGGGCTGCTCCGCTCCTCTCCGCGCCGCTCCGCGCAGGGGCCGCTCCGCGGGTACCGCTCCCTCCGCGGGTACCGCTCCGAGGAGCAGCCCGACCCCGGCCACCAGCCTCGTGGCTCACGCGGGACGGGCAGCGCGGCTGTCCCGCTCCCCCGCGGGACTTGCTCTCGCTCCGCAGCTCGGCAGCCCCCCGGGGCTCCGCGGTGGGTAGCACGGCCGCGTAGCCCCGCGTCCCTCCGCGACAGGCTCCTCTCTCCAAGTTAAATAAAACTCCATCAGGAGGCACGAGACCGTGCGCGGGCGGGCAAGGTCCCTCCGCTGTGCCCGTGGGCTCCGGCTCCAGCGCGGCCGCCCCGGGGCCGCCGGCAGCGCCGGGAGATGCTCCGCGGTGCTGCGCGGCTGCTGCCCGGGCAGGCTGCGCACCCGAGGAAACGGGAAACCTCCCTCTTCTGCTTAACGGGTAGAACTGGGAGAGGCTGCGGGTCCGAAACAAAGCGAGGAAGAAA